GAGGGATTCATTTGAAAGCTTCAACATTCTATTATAAAAGTTTACATGGAAATTACCAAGTCTGCAATGAATAGAATGAAGGAATAGGAAGAGAGAGAGAGAGAGAGAGAGAAGAAAAAGACACTTCACCATGAATATTCCCATCTCGTTACGAATCACGTAATGGATAGACAAGCATCACAAGCTGTGGAGTAAAAGCGTCACCTTGCCAACAGCGATTCTGACTGTTGATTCTCCTCGATGATAACCATGACTTCCACTAGATACCAGACCTGTAATTTTCTGTGGCAACTTGTACGAGTGGTATGCAAACGAATGCCACCGCCTGGGAACATGAGAACCTCCCTCCTCCCTTCCAGCCCTACAACGCTTCCCATTTGCGATATTGCGCTTGTATATTTCGACGCTGGCTATTACGAAAGAGATCGAGGTGGAAGAGTCAGAGAACGATTTAATCCTTCGCGTCAACATTCAAATTCTTATTCAACTTTTAATTTTTTACGGATTTTAGATAACAAAAGTTGGATAAATCGATAATAAATAGGAAATGATTTAATATTTTTTTTCAACGGAAGAATTTTAAATGAATCGGTTGTAAAAAAGATACTTACGCATATTTCATCGTGGAATTTGGATTAAAATAAAATGTTTCTTGTTCCACGACCAAATCATCATCTCGGTGACGTGTTTCTAGAGATTTTATTTCGAGGGGAGGGGAAAAAAAAAAAAAAAATTAGCTCGTTAATTTTTGACAAACCCTTCACGGAAAGGGCGCCAACGGGTCGGAAAAATCCCGACGTTGGCAAGAAACAGCTGTCCTCCCAATGACGAAGCTGAGAGAGAGACGAACTCGCTTAAAGGGGTGAAGGATCGGTGAGGATGAAAACTGTCACTTTCTCAAAAATCGAGTTTCCAAAAGGAAAGAAGAAAAAAAATCACGAAAATTGGAAACAATTTTTCAGAGAAGCGTGAGTCAAGATTTTAAATTAAACTTACCACGGTAAAAACTGCGATGGAAAATTTAATTTTATCAAAAATTTCGAGAGGAACACGTGTTTAAAAATTGCAATAATTAGAAAAAATTCTCGATTCAAACATTTTCAGCCGGTAACCCGAGCGGATGTTAAACATTTAACCGTATGTTTAATAATAAACTCGGAGATGAAGTGCCCATTGGAGATGTTTGTTTCCCGGGAACGTGGCCGAGGAACACGTCGCATAGTGTTTCTTTTCATAGTAACGTCTAAGTTGACTCACGATCAGTGGGTCATGCAAACCGGAAGCGAGAAAACGATCGGCCCATTAGATGGAAACGGATAGCCTGCGTACGAAATTAAACTCGTTTCCTCGAAACAAAGTCGCCTGGCTTTTCTTCCACAATCCTAAAATTCACGAGTTTCCTTCGCCTCTTGGAACAAACGAAAACATTGAACCGCGGCATCTCTATTTCGAGGACGATCCCTGACACAAACTGTATCCGAATCTTGTTAAAAGAGCAAAAGAGTTTCGCTCGCTTTACCGCTTATTTTCTCAAGTGAAATTCTAAAACTGAATAATTTTTTTTTTATTTTTCGGGGAACGTTGCAGATAACATTGTATCTGCAAAAGATTTTTTTGTTCTTATTCAAAACGATATACATAGGTTAAAAAATTATCTAAATAAAGTAAAGGATATTCTATTACATTTTTATCACAAATTTATTTTATTACTAAATTTTTCTTCTACCGAAATTTAATAAAAATATCGTACCATCGATTTCAAACCATTTAATCGAGAAAAAACGATCCATCTTCTCGAAAATAATTATTGCGATAACATTAATTTTAATTTATATCCCCGAGAGAAATTTAACGAGCAAATTAAAAAATGATCCGTGGAATTTACCCGGCGACAGTTATTCCCACAAAACCAACCCCTCCCCCCGTGAACTTTGACACGGTAAATCAGGAACAGGCGTCGGCGAATCGCGCTCGCCCGCGTCCCGACGCCATTAATTTCGGCCGGAGCACGATGATGGAGCCTTGGGGGGATTCCTATTTGCGACCACGCGAAAAGAAAACGAGCTGAACGCTTCACAGGGAACGCAGAAGGGAAAAGAAGACCGAGGGTACGTGAACAGGCATCGGCGTCGCGAAGTCGCGTATAAATTTATCTTCGCGCGAGTTGTACGCTTTCTTCGTACACCGAACCCTTCTTCTTCGTCGATCCTAACCTTTCAGGGGTGATCCCACTCGAGTTCGTTGCCACCGATCAACACTTCTATAATCGTGGTAATCCTCGGCCAAAATCTAAATAAAACGTGTTTAATATTTGGCGATTGATCTTGTAAATTATTGTGTACGATAATATAATTTGTATATTATCTTTTCGACAATACATCGTGTGTATTTTGAAGATTTTTGGTAGACACTTAAATTTTAAGTAATTAAATATAATAATTGTAATCGTATTTCAATGTTATTTGTATATATTTTTATGAAAATGATTTACGTAACATTGCATTTCTAAGTTGGAATTTTTCTATACGTGGATTGGATAATCTATCATAATTTAGTTGATTTTTGAAATTATTTGACATCGATATAGATTCTACTACTACTGTCTACGTTACTTCTAATTGATAATCGAACTTTTGCATTCAAATCTCCAAATTCTTCAATATGATACCTGATAATAAACGCAGGATTATTTTATCAAAAAAGATGCTTCCAATGCTGGTAGCAAGTACAATATCGAAGAACGCTGGAAGCGATCGGTCGATTATCGTCCTTTATGGCGCGCAGACGTTTTCGCGCCATTCGAGAAAAACGATCTTGATCGGCATGCAGACGGAAATAGAGGGTGCTGCGCGAGAGGAAAGAAGACGAAACGATCGTTAATGGCACGTAATACGCGTTATGGACGCAAATTACCCGGCGTAACTGTAATTTGCGCCTTTTTTTTCTCTCCACTTCCCTCCTCTCCTCCGTATCGTCACGATCAGGTTGTTTAGTTACGTAATGCTTGTGCAATAATTACCGATGTTTGAGCAATTGACCGCTTCAGGCGCTACCGTGCGTATCAAGGCATGAAAATGAAAGAAAAAAGAAAAAAAAAAAAAAGAAAAGAAAAAGGAAACGTTCTGTGCCAGGTTTTGATCGATCTTGAAAGTTTAGATAGATCGCGCGTATAGATCGAGCGTGATAGCTACATCGATTGAAAAATCGACGTGGATCGACATCGGATAATTTAATTTTGTGTGCGCTCGAAATCGAGTTACGATTTTTCTTTTTCTGCATCGTACAGGATATATTATTTTTATAATAGATCAGATCTGTAATGTGTACTTTAATACGTCATAACAAGATGATTGTAGATAATTATAATTGTACAGTGGAGAGGAATAAGTACGTTTCCATCAAAGTCAATTTCGTCGAACGTGCTTGAATATTTTTAGTAATCGTAAAAATAGTCTCCGTCAAGATAACGGGCTTGATTATTTTAGCACTAATATGTATGATTCGCAAAATCTTAGCTATATTCGCGATGGAAATTAATGTTTGTTATTTCCCATAATTTAATTCAAGATTAAATACGATAAATTTTGATGCTTTTAATAAAATTAAGTTGAATCATTAATTCTTCACAATAAAGCTTGGAATTTATTCAATTATACGCAAGAGGATCTTTATTATTGCTAAAATCAAAAACTAAATAATATCTATTTTTTAGTAATTCAATATTAATGAATAAGTTAGAAAGAATCTTATAATTTTATTTTTTCCTGAGAAAATAATTGGAAAAGGATATATTTGTGATATATTTTTTTTTGTCCTACCGTTAAAAATTCCAAAAAGAAAAATCTATTACTTTCCAAGATTTAAATGAATACGATTCAAAAAATCATCTCGTTCTTTCTAAGCTCTTCCGAGAAGCTCATCGCGCCCTAAAATATGGATGAAAATGGCCGATTTAGCTGGAAGATTGAGTAGCTGAATGACTAACGTCTCCTCGGTTAATGGTTCAATTGTTCGGCTCGCTTGGCAAAATTTAGCGAGGATAGAAGGAAGAAGAGAGAGCGTGTTGTTCACGCGTGAATTTCTCGCATCGGTCGCGTGACAAATTGCCTCGTTAATTCGATCAGCGCGATTCAATTTATTCGCTCTGGTCGCGGCTGATTTTCCGCTAATCTCGTGCCATTTTGTAGCTGCCGCTCAAATCGTCTATTGCGTTTTGTTAATATTGATATAGCCGATTATTAATGCTGGAAGATCTGTGAAAATATTATCTTTAAAATATATCTCTCTCGAGATACATCAGTTTTCCTTTAAATTATTTATTACTGGAAAAGTTAATTAATTTTCGATATTAAAAAAACTTAATGTGTTATATTTATTATTAAATGCCACATCTAGTTTCGATGTTTGATAAATCAAAAAATATCAATTTTAGCTACTAGACGATAAAAAAATCAATCCATCAAAGAAAATAAATTGTCAATTTTTTTTTCAATGGTCTTTAATAATTTTAAACGATTGTCATAAACGTCTACTAATTTATCTTCCATCAAAAATCACGAGATATTTTTTTAGTATAAAAATTCTACAACCACAAATCCTTTTTATGAATAAAGAATCTACCTATTATTAATAGCTTCGTAAAAAGTGACATAAAACTTAAAATAGTGAACAAACGTTTCTCAAAAAACAAATCCTTAAGAATTATAAGAAATTATTAATATCTGGTAGAATAGAATCGAGTGGATAGAGAATAAAACTCATTCCATTTACTTGCAAAAACATATAAAAATTTATACATATATATATTAATTGTACTTTATAAAGAATTTAATATTTATATTTCTATCAAATTAACAAATTTTATTTGTTATCTAAATCATATATCATGAAACTAAATGTTAATCCACTTTTCTCATATACAATCTAACTAATAATCAAATATTAAGAAATAAAAATAAAACAAAAAATTGTAATAATCCTAACCTAACCTAATCTAATCTAATCTTTTTGCAAATGATACGGTATACTCGATCCACTTTAAATAATTTCATATACTAATAATTATAACAAAGAACGTACAATATTGTGTTAATATCTGCTGAACAAATTCTATTGTCGGTTGAAATCTTCTCCCAATTATCCTATTCAATATTCATAACCAAGGATTAAAAGCGACGTGTAACAATGTAACATAACCGAGGTGAATATGGCTGGTTTTGACGGTATGTTGGCAACCATGACGGGTCATGATTAAAAAATTACCAGCGAGACAGGTGCGTAATATAGCCTCCAGAGGCCGTGGTATCGGCTGGAATTTTGCCAAAGTTACGCAAACACGTTGCCAACGACAGCGAATATTCAAGTATAATCCCGGCTCTGCCAAAACGCGCGAAGAATGAAATTCTTGGTCGGCGGAAGAAAAAAAAAAAAGCGAGCCTATGAATTATTCGAGGCACGACGGAACCTTTTTCGATAAACTTTTAAACATCTGTTCATGATTTTCGTGTACGTGATGAGAAATCGAGAAATATGCGAGAAAAAAAAATTTTTTTTAATTTTTTTATTAGCAAATTTGAGTATTTTTTAAGAGAGAATTATTAATTGCAAAATACAAGTTTGCTTTGTCTGGTTAATTTCTTTATGAATAGTTTCGAAATATTTGATTGGTATGCGATATATCTTTGTCAGGTATTGTTAAATTTTAATTATTTGCGTTGGTAGGCGTTTCTGACCGATTACTGATCAAGCTAAAATTTCGGGATCAAAGACCATTGCTAGAGGAAAAACCTTAGTAAATGTTTTTGTTGATTTTTTTGTTTACGTCTGTTAATATGTCAAAATCAAAAAGAGTAGTGTTGGATATAATGTTATACTAATTTAAAATATATGAAATATATGCGGAAAAATAATTGAATATACTATTACGATCAAATTATTTCGATAATTATGAAAAGTACTCTTAGACTAGAACCGGCATTATGTATAAATGCCAACAAAAAGGAAATAAAAAAAAAAGAAAAATGAAGAAAATACCAACTTCACATAAACTCATAGGTAGCGAATACGTCTTCTTGAATCTCTTTTTGAACCTCTATTTCATGCTCTTCTTCTTCATAATATTCTTCTTCCTCTTCTTCCTCCTCTTCCAAGTATAGCTCGAGAATAGCGTCTTCAGCACCCTCGGGGAAGTATTCGTCTATCATCGCTTCTGCCCTTTCATGATCCTCCGTGATGAAGTACGGCTCAATGCTGGCAAACGACAGGAAAGCATCTTCGGTCACCCTCCGGAGAATTATCACGAATATCTCGTTCCCAGTCTGATACTTCGCCTTTGTTAACGTTATTTATATCATCAAATGCAAGAGAAAAACGAAAAATATATATATATATATAATAATATACCGGGTGTTAATACACGAAAATTAAAAAAATCACCATTCTATCTCTGTTCTACCTCATCTGATGGAAATTTAAACTAATTTTAAAAAAGAGATAAAGGAACCTTTCTCTCGAAGTCTTCAGGGGACGACGCTATTCGCCTTGCGATTGGGGGAGCATCGAATTCGAACGCACCAAAATATTCGATGGCGTCGGGGAAAAGGGCGCACGTCTCACTGAGAATGGGGAACTTTGAATAATAGAATTTGAAGGCGCAGAATGGAGGAGGCGGTACAGGCTCCTCGTAAGGATGGACCAATTCCATATAACTGCTGAAGATGCTTGTGTACACGTGCACTTTGCTCCGGGCCTGAACAATCAATAATTATTCTCTAAAACTCCTCTTTCGACCGTGTTTCGTTTCTTCGAACAAGACTTAATGAAAAAAAAACTTCGTTCCATGTTTAAGTACAATTAATTCTCTTCTGGCGAGATTTTGAAATATTCTGAATAAAAAAATTATTCGTTGTTAATAATAATAATAATTAATCTGTTTAATCTTAAGGGAAGGTTTGAAATAACGAGTGTTAAATTCGAGGAATACCTGAGGGGGTACCCAAACAGCGGGATGGGTGCGAGGAAAGTCCTCCTCGTCCTCGGGATCAGGCTCGTGAACGTACACGTGCCTCTCCATGTACGAGTCAGTTGTATTGAAGGGGACAGCGTTACCCTGAAGCAGCGGCTCTTTGCTGGTCAACAAATGTATCAGATAATTCTCCACATCGTTGATCTCTCGCGTGGGGCACTTTTTAATCCCCTTGGGGCACTCGAAGGGAAGGACACGGGCCAATCGGGATGGGGCCGTCTACCTTTCAGTCTCATCGCTATCGTTCTACCATCCGTCAATCCTGCACTTATTACGTAGCAATAGCAATTCGAATTCACAAGCAATTCTTCCCTTTCCAAGATCAAATTGGAACGTCGATTATCCAATAACGACTTCGATTATAAATTAAGATATTCGGACGATTAATTATCATTCCAACGTAATTTCTCTCACAAGTTATTCTTTTATAAAAGAAATGTTCATCTCTCGGATAATAGACGTTCCATCAGTGGTGGACAAATTATTTCGAGAGAAAGATTGATAAAAGGGTGTGCACACCTACTACGATAGCCTTCGTGACCTCCTCGTTGCTCTCGACGAACATCTTCTCGATTATTTCCTCGGTTAACTGTATTCGCAACTCCTCTAATACGTCGTAGTTCTGTTTGAACAGGGTATTGATCAGTTCAAGATACGGAGGGCACTGATACTTGTCCCTGTGCCGTCCCTGCTCGTCTTTGAACACCCACGGATAGAAAACCAGAGCGGTGAACTCGCTCAGCTCGAATATCATCTGAGCCAAGAACGTCTCGTACTTCTCCAACCGCTCAGCCTCCTCCTTGGCACGCTCGCGCTCCTCGATCGCTTTTCTTGTTTTATTTTAATTTTCCCACGAACCCAATTAACCACGCTCACGACATACGGTCAGTCACGTGTTTCATTATCTTAATCTTAACTCGAAAATTTGTCTAATATTTTTCTACTAGAATTATTTAATTTTTTTAATCCAAGGATATTTTGTTATCACATCAGATCAATGCTAAAAATGACTGAAGCGAAGATATGTAGAAAAGAAATATCGACTGACTGTATATTATGACAAAAGTTTCAACAACGTCTATTAGATCTTTCAGGAATAATACCTGATGGCCTCCTTCTCCTGCCACGAAACCTCCTCCTCCGCGGTCCTAGTGCTGACAGCTTGCTGCATTTCCGGCTCTTCCTTGTACTGGACACGTTTGATCTCGGACATTATCAGTTTTCGAAGCTGGGGACAATTGGCGCCGAACATCAAATTGACCATTTGACCATTTTCGAGGAACATCCAGACCGGCTCGCTTCTTTCACGGAATCGCTCGAGGTCGGCGATGTTGTCGTTCTTCACGATCGCGTACCTGATCGCATCACCGACTTCCATTTTCACGCTTCGAAGCATGCTGACCATCGCGATGCACGGGCCGCACCACGAGGAGTAAACGTCGGCGAGTATCAACCCCTTCTTTTCCAACAACTGCTTCCAATCGTCCTCGGTCTCTATCTCCACTTGGAGCACCACCTCTTTTCTTCTTGCCATTTTCTCACGCGATGGATTTAATTTATTTAAAGGTTACTCCACCATCGACAGATTAATTTTAATTGCATCATTCGCGGCCAGCTTCACCAACCATCGATTCGTTACTTTTTGTTCCAAGATAGACACTTTGTGCGATGATAAATGATTTTTAAGAGAGAACGAATCTCATTTTGCAATTTAACGCGATTGTTATCGGTTTCGATCAACAAGAAATACCCGAATTCTTGAGCGCAGAAACTCTTTACTTCGCGCGTAATTTGTAATTGCGCGTTCTTGCAAAAATCTCTTCTTCCTCCTGAGAGGAGAGGAAGAGATGAAGAGATCGAGGCCGGCGATAACACGTCTCGACGGCGTATGTCGTCGCAACGACGATCCCCTCGTTTAGTCTTACGCCCCTAATTCGCGGTCTAGCCACGATAATTAGTACGTTCGCGATCCTACATCAGCGGGACTTGACGTGCCTTGTTTTTGTTCTGCCGGCAATTTACGATCCCTGATGGTAGGCCAGACTCGTGGAAAACTAGTGGAAAATTGTGGACGAGTTTATTGCGTTCTTATGCCAGTTGGTTTTTAAGCGAAGCTTTAAACCCTTTGAGACAGAGTATAAGGAATACTTGTTCTGCTTTATCAATTCTTACTTTTCCACGATAAATTTTCTTTCAACCATTCGATTTCATTGTAATTCTGTAACCAAATCAAAAAATGTCTCGATTATAATTAACAAATTTATCTTCGATTTATGGAAATTTCGTTTCAATTTCGCGAATCATCGATAAATACACAGATGACACGATCATCTTCACGAGCTTAAATTTACCCGCGTAATGGATGGTGAAAATTATTCATCTCGTTCCTGGAAACGGACTCACATTTTCTCGAATCACGAATCGGACGACATTGTTCGAGGAAGATCGAGCCGGATGGATGGAGCGTATCACGGAACGGTAATTACGCAATTTTCGCGAGATAAATGGCGACCGAAGTGGCTTGCGTGAAACTGAAGGAATTAACCGCGGTTCTATCCTTTGTTTTTGTAATTCTAAGCTTGTTTTGTCATTGTTACGTAATTTCGTGAGATATTCCTTAACGATATTTTTTTCTTTTCTTTTTTTTTTGCGTATTATTAGATGGAAATATCGGAAAATAATTATAAAAGATGTTTATGTACGTTCTTGTTCATAAGTCATGGAATTTTAAGCACAAGTAAGTAATATTTATTAAGATAAGTTTGTCGTAAAGATATTAAAAGAATATGTGATTGATAATGTGCAATTTGATAACTCGAGGAAGTAATGTTGGCGCGTAAAGTAGAGAGATAATTATCAAAGAGATTTTTACACAATGCATTTAATCTAAAAAAAAAAAAAAAAAAAAAAATTACTAATATTTATGAATATTGTATATAAAGATTTGATAAATTATTTCTGTGAAAAAAATTTTTTAAAAATCATCAAACGATTTTGAATTATACTATCTAAGGGATTTATCTAGTTGAAATTAATTTTATGTTGAATTCATTTTAATCTTTAATTCAAATATTTAAATTCGATCGAGATAAACTTGTCACGATAAATTCTTCGAACTTTCATTTTTCCAACAAACTCGTGCTATCGCGTTAAAAAATATAATAATCTTTAAAATTTGTTTTTCTTCTTACGAAAACAGGAAGAGGTCGTGATTTCCGTGTTCGATATTTCGTAATTGCAATAGCTCTCGAATTTCGCTTCGATCCACGATTGCACAAAACATTCAAAACGAACTCGTTTGAACTTGCGACTGCGAAACCAAAAGTTTTCACGTTGTTGCGAATTCCAAAGTGTTTCTGGTCAATCAGCATATAAATCGAAAACTCGAACATACGAATTATCCACGCGAGTCTTATCCATTTATTCTGTTTAATAATTTTTAATTTGTGTTTTAAATCATGTATAAAAATTATAAATTCGTACTATCTTGGTATTTTTATAAAAATATTATAAAATATTAATTAAATGTAATATTAAATACATAATTGATTAAATATAAACATTATAAAATATTAGAATATTGATTTTAATCGCTTGCTCTATTGTTTTGTCAGTTTGTTCTAATATAACTTTGATCTTGATTCGTTTCATAATTAACAATGAAATGTTAAAAAAGAAAATATGAATTCATAATGCAAAAGATTAAAATTAAATAAAGAATAATTCTAATTATTTGTTAATGTAATATTCATACGATATTGAAATTACGATATAACACGTAAACTAACAATGTACAAGTACACATTGTAGTATTAATAATGATTGCATAATTATTCATAGATTGCAATCAGATGAAATAGACATTCATATTGCATTCACAATGCATCTATATTTTACATTATGCTAAGTTTATAATCAAATTTATAGTTACAGGATGCTTGATTTATAGAACAACTCGATACATCAATTGAAATCTTTAGTAGAACAAGTTCAACTAGAATTTCTATTATCTCATATTATTTGCAAAAAAATTAATACAAAACTTTTCCAAGGTTTTTCTATATCTCGAATTATAATGAAACACATTAAAATACATAAATCAGATCTCATTGTCCTCATTATAATAATCATCTAATTGTGAAGATAGAAGATAGAATCATATAAAGAAATCTTCCTATTTCCACAATTAAATCCGCGAGTGTATACATATGAATAAGAAAAGCAGGAGATAATAGATTTATTTTTGATGTTGTTACCTTCGATATAACGATTGAAAACACTATTTTTTCAGTTGCAACGAGACGTTCTGGATTTCCGACAAAAATAAACGATCTAGACGATATCCTAATTAGATCGCGTGCAAATGTCTTGTTAACTCTAGAATTGAAACGAAGAACTTTCATATTATTTCGCTTTGTTCCAATCAAAGACTGTACACCTTCATCTTATTGCGATTAGAAACGATTTTAATAGAAATAATAGAAAAAAATGTTAATTAATCAAAATTGTAATGAAAAAAATTGTATATTAGAATGAATAATTTTTTTCTATGATTTGTGATTCGTAAGAAGAATTACAAGTTTATATAATAAGATTTTAAAATTACACGTATTAAAATAATGAAGGTACGGATAGATATAAATTTATTGAAATTTTAATGGAATATGATTTTTTTTTTTTAATTAAAAAAATAATTATTCTCATTCGAGAATGAAAATTATTTACGAAAATAATATGTATTTCGTATTCTAGATTAATATCTTTCCAATAATTTTATTACAAGATAACTTCAATCGACTTATTAGATGCTATCATTATCTTAAATCGTTATAAAAACGAAGAAATTATAATCTTGTTTCGAAAGGACAAAAACCAGACAGAAAAAAGAAAAAATCCAATAAAAATTCCAAAGACCATCGATATTGAAATAACTCAAGATCCTCTACAACAGGGTATGTACATTACAAATCACATACAGTATCCTAGCATAGCGTACAATTACTCTACCATCCGCAATGTACTACGATAAATTTCTTTACGACCTTTTTAAAAACCAATCTACGCGCTTCATCATACCTATTTCCAACGTATCCCTCCTAAACAAACAATAAGATACCCATTAAACCACCATCATCATCATCATCGCAAACGAGCTCTCTGGAACGAGCATCGGAGCAGGCGCGGGAAATCTCATCAAACTGGCGCGAAAAACAAATCACTCGGCCACTGTCTGCGGTGGTGGCATGGCAAAGAGGACGCAAGATGGCCGACGTCGGGGCTATAAAGACAAATAGAAGCGAAACGAGCCCAACAAGGCCTAACGACGCGTATTTGCATCAGTCATTAAGACGGCCGAGAAACCGCGGCGCAGGACGGTGGCCAATTCCGCGCTGTCGGCTGGACAAAAGGACACCCGCCGCTAAAGTGACGCTTATCGCGGCTTGTGAAAGTGTATTTTCTTGCGTAACGCACGCTCAGACCTCTTACGGCTTCTCTTTTCTCACAGATGCGTTCTTATGTTCTGCCGAGTTGGGTTCCAAAGATGGAGCGCGGCAATGATTCGTTGGAAGAAACATTTTTAGTAGTTATGTATATAGGTTATGTTTTCATTCATATAAAAGTGTTTAGTTAAGTGGTTGTCGTATAGTTATTGCCATAATATGATTTGTAATTAGCGTTATTTTAGTTAGATATCGGCTGTAATTTTATATAATTATTGGATACAATTGTGAGATTCTGTCTATGAAGGAACAGAATCATAATTGAATGAATTTGAACGTAGGAATATAATAGCTAAATAAATAGTATAATTAAAAAGAATAATGTTCATGAATTTTTCTTACTGTTTTGCTAATTATCATTTTCATCTTAATAAAAAATAATGAAAGTGATGGGATAATCATTACCTATATCTAAAACTTTTGATAATTAGCGCTATCTAGATCATTTATATTATACATGACTTATCTAAAATCTGAAGTCTAACGAACTGATACATTATTAGAAAATATGTTTCATTTAAATTCTTAGAATACAATGGACATTTATTAAATAAATGAGATATATTGCTCTTGATCAATTGATTAGATGTTTTTAATCAATTGATAGCAAGATTTTTCTAATTGTTTTACTTATCTATTACCTACTATTCTCTGTGTTTTTATGTTAAAATAAAAAAATAAATACTTCAATGATAAATTTAAGAAATGAAGTAATCAATCATAATTATTACATCATATTATTATATTATATAAGACAATATTATAAGATAAGAATGGAATAAATGAAAGTTAATGAAAATTATTAAGTAATTGAAATTAAAATCCTTGTTTGTTTCCTTTATGTTATAAGATTCCTTATATTTTTTCATTAAAAGGAAACCATCACAAAATTAATATTTAAATATAAAGATATTGCTGAAGTAATTATTTATCTCTCGATACAAGAATTCTAAAGTATAAAAACCTATCGACACAAATCTTCATTAATCTTTATATATTCCATTCTTATATTATAAAAATGCCAAGTATATAACCAAGTTTCTTCTTATTTTACTTGCATTGAAATACAAGTATTGATTTGTAGAAGATTTTGTTCAGAGCTTTCCTCATTTAAAATCCTCATTTAAAAATCTGATTTTTAACTAGCAAGAAACAAAGCGAATAAATTGCCTGTTATAATTCTCCATAGAGAATACGTGTGTCACCATTCTTCGTCGACATTCGTCCTTTGCAATTAATGTCACGTTCCTGGAACCGGTGTAGATGCATTAATTCCACACGCGACGAGAAAAATCGCAGATCGATCCTCGCCAGGCCTTCGACGACCGCCCACTTCTAGACACAATCACAATCGTAAAACTTAGCGAAATCGCGGTGTGATTCATTATATTAACGTGGTTAAGTTAAGTTAGGTTAGATTGTTTCACGAATCGCGAAGGTGGAGCCACTTGTCTGAATATTTATCTTCGCTATGACGAGTTTCTGGAAAACAATTCCTGTCGAACCTATTCCGGAAAGGACGCGGGAGAATAAAATCTGAGAAATATCAGAATAAAATCTGAGAAATGTCAGAATAAAATCTGAGAAACATCGTTCACCTGGATATTGGCTCTTTCCTCGAATAAAGCGTATTAGAGTGGAAATATAAGGATCGTGAATTATTTTTAAAGTTCGAAGAATTCTTTTGTTCCCTTACG